TAAGCCACAACACAAAATTAAATATTAATATATTATACAGTAAAATAGTAGAATTTTATTATCACAAGAAACTCTTTAATAAACTTTTAAACTATAAACTTTTGCTACTTTAAAACAAATCAAGTATAAATACTTACTTTGAAATCTTCACTTTGAAATGTTCTTTGAGAAATTAAATAAAGTATAATAAAGTCTAAAATCAAATCTAAAGATCAAATTAATCACAAGATTATGTATTATTTTCACCCTTAAAAACATTTAGGGTCTTTTTTTGAGGATAACCACATTAAATTGTTTATTGACTAAATATTATATTAAATGTATTCTACATTACCAATGAATATAAATATTATAATAAAGATATTATCAAATGAAATGTATACTAAAAAAGAATTTAGTTGTAATAATTTCTTTATATAATCAATCAATTAATAATATACTTTAGAATATAGATCTTACATTCCAGGTTATTTACAAATAGTAAATTAACCATGTTAATAAAAATATAAATGATAAAAGCTATTTAACATAGTAGCCACAAAATGAAATTCCAGGACTTTAATCACATTTTTCAGGACATTTTATCATAAAAAACAATTTTGAATGTAATAATATAAAAAATTAAATTCAATTAAAACAAAGTAAATACAACAATGCAATAAAAATAAAGAAGACCTTTCAAACCATAGGAGCAAACTTGTCAAAATTAATTTTACAGAAGTATTATTTGTAACTTTTTAACTACATCTATATATATATATAATAATTTTTAAAAATCATTTTTATAAAATTTTATATTTTCATGGATTTTTTTTCAAATATATTGAACAGTTTTTTTTTTTTTTTTTAATATATAAATCAAATGAACATCTTTCAACAGCTGTTTTATCATAATTTTCTTAGGATTTAATATGCTAATATTGGTTTTATACTTTATATATATATATATATATATATATATATATATATATATATATATATATATATATATATATATATATATATATATATATATATATATATAATATTGGTTTTATACTTTATATAAATATATATATATATATATATATATATATATATATATATATATATATATATATATATATATATATTAAATCATATTATATTAACCATTTTATAAATTTTTTATTAAAGATTAATTGATTTCAATCAATTAAGTTATTAAAAATTAGGGTAAAAATTTTTTATTTTAATATAATTAATAAATATTTAATAAATTGCTTTAATTTCACATTAAATAACGCTAATACAAATGGAGTTTATTTAAGATAATTTTATTTAACATAAGAAGTATAACATGTCAGTTTACAAAAAAGTTTTATAAACAGTAACTAATTATAAATATATACACACACACATATATATGTGTGTGTGTGTGTGTGTGAATTTATATATAAATAGTGATTGTGACCATTTTAATATATTGGTCGAAATAGTCACTGTATATATATATATATATATATATATATATATATATATATATATATATATATATATATATATATATATATATAAATATATATATATATTTATATATATATATATATATACAGTGACTATATATATAACTAAGCCAATATATATATATAAGCCAATATATATATATATATATATATATATATATATATATATATATATATATATATATATATATATATATATATATATATATATATAATATTGGCTTAATTTGTAAATATAATTAATATTAGTTTGATCACATTACATGTATATATTATATATACAAGTAAAATGACCAAGCTAAAATTTAATATTAACTTAATACCATAATATGTATTAATAAGTATTAGCATGGATTACTATTAGCTTGATTATAGTAGCTTAAAATATTTGTTTACAACATATACAAATATATTTAAAGTTAAAATTATAGGATTAGCTTGGATTAATATTACTATTACTAATAGTTTTATATATAAATCAAAGCAGTTAATATTAACAAGCTTATATTATATTATTAGCTTGTTTATAATGTAAACAAGCTAATAGTATTAGCTTGTTTATATTATAAACAAGCTAATAATATAATATTAACTTGTTATTATTAACAGCTTGGATTTATATATAATATTTATATTTTATTTATATATAATAGCTTGTTATTATTAATAGCTTAGATTATTATTAATAATTATCCAAGCTAATACTATAATAATAGATTGGATTAATTATACAATAAATAATCGAATCGGACTATTTATGATTTCATAATTCAAGGACTCATTAAATTTAATTTAAATGAAGTTATAAATAACAGCATTCTTATTTAGACTATCAATAGTTTAAATAACTAATTAAATTATCTTAAAACATAAAAAACAATATCGACAATTTCCATCGGCTTTTGGATATTTAATGCGAATCGGACTTAAGATATGTTGTCATATCATAAATATGCAATCGTAAAGAAAACAACCAATCAAACAACTAGAAATCTATGATCAGGAAATTGTATGTT